TGGCCGAGTTTGTGAAAATGCCGGGTTATCGGGAATGGGGTTAAAAAAGGATAAGTATGCGTGTTTCCTCAGAAAATACTGTACTGTACTTGTATGTATTGTTTGCTTGAGAATACAACAGAGAATAAACTGCCCAAATACCCTTAAACAAAGGAAAAGTACGTCCTTTATGAAGGCATAGAGCCTTTACTACATGAAAATGAAAATTAATGAATACACTGTGTACAGTAATTTGACTGATAAGACAGACCTCAGAAAAATACTTTATGAGAGCTTTTATACTTTTATAAAGCTGTCTATAATGATAATTAATTAACTAAGGATTTTTTTGCCCTGCCAGGGTGTGGCCGAGTTATCCAGAGTGCCGGGTTATCGAGAGCCGAGTTTTCGAGGTTCTACTGTATTAATATGTATCACTTAAGAAAATTTTAATAAAGATATTTATTTTAATTATGAAAATATAGTAGCATGTTTTTTAATTTTTGGAACCTAACCCTCCTTTTCGTACTAGTTCTTTGATTCGCATAACACGGTAATTTTTTGGAACATAACTACCGTGTTATACAGGGGTTACCTGTAGTTGATCATTATTAACTATTTGTTGCCCATATCAAAAACTGCATAAAAATTTAACATTTTTCTGCTTGATCTTTTTTTCCACCTTTTTACAATGGATTTGCCATTATGATCACAAACTAATATACTAATAATGAGCAATTATTTATTGTGACATTGTCTTAATGCCAGGATGCAAATTTTGTTCACCTCAAATTAGTAGTGACTTTCCCCTGTACATCATACATTTCCTTTAAATTAACAATAGTCATATGGGTCATCTAACACCTTTCAGGGAAAATTTTTGAACTGAAATAACATTACTTCTGGTTAGTATCAGAAGTTTGTATATGGTTAATTGGGGCCTCCTGTCCCTAAGATTTCCATATCTGGTCTTGTCTTTCATCTAAGACAAATGGACAAAAGTGGAAATTTATAGGTCTACAATTTTTTCAAATTGCAGCCCAATAATTTATAAGTTTATCATTTATTGCAAGGTGTTGTACCTAAAACCAGTACAACTGTATGGTGGAATAAAAGAATTTTCTTTATTTTAGTTAATTATGGTAGAGTAAATGCATACTTTTATAGAAAACATTAGAAATCCTTGTGAATCAAAATGTTTTTGTGCATATGATATGTTCAGACAGGCAAACCAATGACTTTGAATGTTCTTCAGTTTATAAAATGTGAGAATTCGTTATATGTGGCAATGTATAACAGTATAGCTGTGCTCATGATCACCACATTTTGGAGATAAGAACTTTTCCCATAGTTCTTGGTTGTTATGTTCCCTTTTTCTTCTGGGTGTGTCAGGTTGACATGCTCATGTTCAATGTCTTCACCTTGAGTGAGATGTGGTGATTTTTAATTTTGACTGATTTGAATTGTCTTTTATTATAACAAATGGTAACAGAATGTAGTTGTCTGTTATTTTCCAGTAACTATAGTAAAGATGAAGGGAGAGAAAATGACAAATTGTAACAAACTTTTGAACGATAGTTGAGATGAAGTTAAGATGACCTAGGATAAAATTACTTTGAATTTACAAAGAGATCTGGTAAGAAATATTCTAACATTTTAAAAAGGAATCTACTTTTAAATTAAGAAAATGATGATTGTACTGAATTTTATGACAAGGATGACTAATATAAACAATAAGCATGTTAATTGAAAAAGAAACTGACACCTGAGATAGTGACCTATGACAAGAAAGGGATAATTTTATTGAGAATTGAGTTGCTTAATGATGAAAGTTATTTTTTATGGTCTAATCATATCGAATGTGAGCTTTGGTCGGAAATTGAGGAAGAATATCATGGAAGTAGATGAACCATGTAACCTAGGAGATGACAATGCAGAAAGAGACAATAAATTAAAAATATACCAAGCTGGGAAGATGACAATTACACAACATTATGGGTAATGAAGAATTTTATGACTGGACTTCTAGTCCTCTATTACATCATCAAAACATCAGTAAGGAGGCTGTAATTTCATTTGGAGTTCACTGCAGAGCAGAGAACTCCAAATGAAATGTTTGAGTGAGATGACTTCTGTAAAAGTGGGCTCATGTGAATGTTGAAGCATATCTGAATAGAGCTGAAGCTATCTATATCAAATGCCTTATGTCAGGCAAGAATATCAAAGAACATGAAATGATTTAATTTATGTTGAAAGGTGTGAGACCTGAATTCGATGTAATGGTCAAGTTACTTGAATATAAAATTGATATGACAATGACAAAATTTAGAGAGAAATTAAAGGATGAAGAGAACAACAACAAAAGTCAATTTAAGACAAATGAAGAAACTGCCTATAAAGTAATGAGTAAAAGAAAAATGTCTGATTCAAGAAAACAATGTAACAATTGGCAGTAGCAATCGCATATCCAAGGAAGGCCACTTGAAGGTAAAATGTTTTAATTGCCAAGATTTTGAGCATATTTCATTGAATTGTCCCAAATGCATTGACAATAAATGAGTAACTACAATGAACTCTAGTAAGCATAATAAGAATGAAAGATGGAAGAAAAACAAAACTGAAAGAGCAGCTGTGACATATGAAGACATTGATGAAGATAATGAAAAAGATATTGAAGCACATCCAGTTGAATGGATACTTGACTCAGGAGCAAAGCTTCATATGACCTCTCACTGAGAATATTTTGGATGATTTTGAAGAAATTAAACAAGATATTGGGATGACAGAGCAGGAATGAACAGAGACAGTGTTAGACATAGGAGAATTGTCTCAACAATGGAAAGAATTTGGTTGGATCCGGCTGAACAAGGTACTATATGTGTTGAACTTGGATACAGACCTCATCAGTGTGGCCAAATTGCAAGACTCAATGAGGTGAGGATGAGGAAGAATGTTGTAACAGACAGAGATAGGGATATTCTCTTCAAAGCAAAGAGAATCAATCATTGCTTCATTGTGAGAAGGAAGTTAAAGAAACCTTGAGATGCACATAAAGAGAAAATGAATGTGACTCCTTGTGGCATAAAAGACTTGGACATGTAAACTGTCAAACATTGAAAGAAATGAATGATGAAGAACTCGAGGAAGGAATGGAACTCAGGAAGATTGGAAAACTAATTTGTGACATCTGCATCAAAGGAAAAATGTTGAAACTGCTTTATGCATTGATTAACAGGGATTCATTATGTAGAATTATGGAACTATGGCATGCAGATCTTATTAGATGTATTTTACCACTCAGTCTAGGAGGTGTCACGTACTGCATATCTTATATCTTTAGTGGATGCCTTCAGCCGACAACTGTTGTTGAAGCCAATAAAGACAAAGGACGAGGCTGTGGAAGAAATAATAGGAAAAATTATCTATCACAAGAGACAGATAGAGATAGACCCTTTTACAATTCTGCTCAGATAGAGGCAGGGAATTTAACAAGAAATGACTGAAAGATTTCTTAGAGCAAAAGGAATAAAATTTCAGATGACTATCCCTTACTTGCCTTAAAGTTAGAGAGGATTGAACAGAGCAATAGAAGTCAAATGGAAATGACATGAACTATGCTAATTGATGTGAAATTATCACATATGTTTTGGGCTGAAGCATTAAAGACAGTGAACTATATTCGCAGTAGATATAAATCCAGTTTCCACAAAAGAACTCTGATGGAGATATGAATGGGAAAGGTTCCATCCGTCCAGCTCATGAGAAGATTTGGATGCTTGGTTTATGTATCTATGGATAAAACAATTAAAACTGAAGGAGATTTTTCTTGGATACTCAGATCATGCATACAGGATGTACAATCTGGAAAATGGAACAATAATTAGAGAAAAGCACATACATTGTGATAAATATAAGTTGGAAAGCAAATTGCTGAGAAATCCACAAAAGGAAGAAATTGCATTTCAGTGGGATGATGAAGCCAGCAAACTCCTCTTGGAAAGTGAAACTACATACATACATACATACATACATACATACATACATACATACATACATCAACTGTACACAAAGTGTTTAGCTGGCAGAAAAGAGGGTAAGGGAAAGGAGGAAGGAGGGTGAGGAGATAGACAGTAGAGAAAGGTAGGATCCCTCTGAATGACATGCATATAGCTACAGTACTCTCTATGTTTGATGTTGGTGTGCTGTTTTTAGGCTGCAAGGCCGTAGTCCCGAAGGGTCTAAAAGAAAACCTGAGTGTAGCAATCACCAATAATTGAGTGCCGCCATGAATAGCTAAGTGTAGAAGTTAGTGCCAAGTAGCTATTAGTAGGAAGACTTATATCTACTTAATACTAATAAAACTGAATGTGATCGTGAATCTTAATACTACTTAACAGCTAGACAGACAGTGTGAAAAGCAAACGAACACAATGACAAACTAGACTAGAAGAATGGACCGACAGAGAAAAACAAGCTAGACCCCCCCAAAAAATTATTATTATTATTTTTTTTTAAAGTTAACTTACTAAACTAACCTACCATAACCTAGGATGAACCTAACCAGCTAAAGCTAACAAACCCTAATGTAATTTAACCTAACCAGAAACCAAGTTAAGAGTCCCTAATCTAACTTACAACTAGGACTAATCAAATTTAAACTGAAAAAGAAGACAGAAAATAAGAATTAAAATACAAAGTTAAAAGGCAGCTATATACTGACAGTTGAAACAAAGCAAGGGAAAGCTAATTGCCATCCATGCCTCCGGAGTGAGTGCTCTCAAGAGCCCCACTAACGGAAATGAATGCGAGTAGATGATGGAACATTGTATGTGTGTGAATGAGTTGGTGTGGGTTGCAAGGCCAGTTATATCATTCAAGAATAGCAGATCTCATTAAACTATTGCTAATGTGATTGTACCTATTGCAGCAAAAAACTAAGTAGTAATTATTATTGCCTTACTGTCCTTTAGTTTCTTAATATATATTTTGTCAACTTGGACATTAATTATTAATAGGACAATTATACAGGTTTTTAAGTTTTTATGCATGAATTGAGGAAAAATTTCTTCAAGAAAACAGACTTTCTTTATTTAGTTGCCTGTACACACACATCTGTTCACATCTGTTTTGGGCTATTATGCCCCTCATCAGCAGGATTACAATTATGATAATCAGTACGTTTCTATATTCAACAGTTGACTCAACAGTGAATTTTCCATTGAGTCCCTCTGTTGAATGATCTGACGTCACATTTTGCAGAAAAAAGAAACGCTTTCATTGAGAGGTCGCTTTTCAAGATGGCTGACTTAAGTAACGAGAAGGTGGAAATTGTGGCTGTTTTGCTAAATAATTAAAGTAACTCGCTTAACCATTATTCGAATAAATCCTTTTATTCAAATGAACCCATATCTGTATCATTTTCTTGTTTACTGAGTCTTTCTTTAATAATTTTAATTACTTTCTTGAATATTTATATCATTAGAAAGACTTAGAGGGCCAAATATCGGTCGTAATCAATTTTGAACAAATGAAAAAAATCTTAATATTTCAATATTGATCAAATTATCCAACATAATCGTGCAATCATATGTTTTATCATATACAGATCGTTCATTAATCTGTCCGCTATCACAGCATCCACAGTAGCGAATGGATTTTTATAAGAGGAATTTACTTTTTCATGGAAGCCGCCATGTTATTTTGTTGAATACTCAACGGTCTTTCAGGTCATTGAGACCGTTGAGCTCAACGGTGAAACAGCGCTGACGTCACTACTCTCAACGGAGAACTCAACGTTCCATTTAGAAATGTCGTTCTCTCACCATATACAAGCTTCCAATACCCGACAATAATTGGTTTTTGTATTGGAGACTGAAATGCTTCATATTCCTTTACAATGCACAATCAAGATTCACGATGCTTGTGAATCTTGATTGTGCGTTGTAAAGGAGTTCCTCTATGAACTCCTTTACAATGCACAATTAATGGTATTGGTGACAGCATCACCCAGGACATTTAACAGAATAACCTTAGGTTGTTTAGCTGCTGAGTGTCTGATTTATAACCTATCTGTTAATGTTTTGATTGAGTTTATGGCATCCACCATTTTGTCTCTGTCGACCTTTGTGTTTAACTGAATGCAAACTCTGTTATTCCTAATTTTCCTGAGTGCTTTAACTGAGATTCCTAACTGACTAGGTTTTATGTTCGTAGTAAGTGTTTTTCTTATTTTGTCCTGAGTGATATTAATGTTTTCTTTTGGAAAAATGAGAACTGCAAATGTGCCAGCACTGGACTGTGTATGTTTTTAGACTGTTTTCTGGATAATTTTGGTGTTTGTTGTGTAGCCCTAGCAGCAACACCAGCATACGAGGAGGTCGGTAAGCTAATCGGAATAGTGTTTTTTGCAGTGTCCAATATTTTGTTGACTGCTATCAATGAGAGAGCTGACCTTCTCAGAAACCTCCTGTTGAATATGACAGACACTATCAGCTAGGGATTTTGAAACTGCTTCACTAATTAAACTATTCAACATATCAACATCGTTGTTGGGACAATGAACCATTGTTCAGATAGTCTTGTCTGCTAGCAAGGAAAGATCATTTGCAGCTTCATGAATTTTTGTTCTGTTCTCTT